GAACACCGGCTACTAGCCGGCTAGTAGCCACTTTTGTAATAACAGCTCCTCAACTTCACATTAACAACCGGCTACTAACCGGCACTTGAAAAGTGGTCACTAGCCGGCTACTAACCGGCTACTAGCCGGCTAGTGACCACAAAGTGGCTACTAACCGGCTACTAAGCGGTCACTAGCCGGCTATTAGCCGAGCTCTAAAGCAGACCTATTAGTAGCCGGTTCTAAACCGGCTACTAGCCGGCACTTGAAAAGCGGTCACTAGCCGGCTACTAACCGGCTACTAACCGGCTAGTTACCACCAAGTGGCTACTAACCGGCTACTAACCGGTCACTAGCCGGCTCTAAAGCAGACCTATTAGTAGCCGGTTCTAAACCGGCTACTAGCCGGCACTTGAAAAGCGGTCACTCGCCGGCTACTAACCGGCTACTAACCGGCTAGTAACCACCAAGTGGCTACTAACCGTACTCCTTTTTATAATCTACATAAACGATCTTCCTCAAATATCAGAAATAGCTAATTTCATCATGTACGCAGATGATGCAAACATTTTCCTAACAGGAGAAAATATAAACGAGGTTTATGATAAGCTCAAAATTCTTAGCGATGTCTTAGTTAAATGGGTAGATAACAACGGATTAGCTCTAAATCTTAAAAAACGAATTATATGATCTTTTCTCGACAAAGAAACCTCATTTATCGCGATGTAGTAATTTCTGGTGTCACAATCGAAAGAAAAACAGAAGCCCGTTTCTTAGGTGTTATAATAGATAACAAACTGAACTGGTCGCAACATATTTCTGCCATGAAAATGAAAATGGCCAGATACATTGGAGTCATGTACAAACTTAAAAAATATTTGCCTCTGGAAGCACGTTTACAAATATATCACAGCTTTGTGCAGTCTCACCTTAATTACTGCTCCCTCGTCTGGGGTTTTGCTGCCAAATCCCATATAGAAACACTATTTGTTAAACAGAAAATGGGTCTTAGAGCAATACTACCAGGTTTTGTTAATTACTGGTACAAAGATGGTACACCACCAGCAAGTACCAAGGGGAAGTTGGTCGTTTAGCTCCGGACAGTCTATGCAACGTCTATGCAACGTTCGTGCAACAACAAAAGAACCGTCTATGCAACGTCTATGCAACGTCCCTGCACAATGAACACTCTATGCACACTCCCTGCACGGTCAGTCTATGCAACGTCTATGCAACGTCTATGCAACGTCCCTGCGCAGTACCATATGAACACCGGCTACTAGCCGGCTAGTAGCCACTTTTGTAATAACAGCTCCTCAACTTCACATTAACAACCGGCTACTAACCGGCACTTGAAAAGTGGTCACTAGCCGGCTACTAACCGGCTACTAGCCGGCTAGTGACCACAAAGTGGCTACTAACCGGCTACTAAGCGGTCACTAGCCGGCTATTAGCCGAGCTCTAAAGCAGACCTATTAGTAGCCGGTTCTAAACCGGCTACTAGCCGGCACTTGAAAAGCGGTCACTAGCCGGCTACTAACCGGCTACTAACCGGCTAGTTACCACCAAGTGGCTACTAACCGGCTACTAACCGGTCACTAGCCGGCTCTAAAGCAGACCTATTAGTAGCCGGTTCTAAACCGGCTACTAGCCGGCACTTGAAAAGCGGTCACTCGCCGGCTACTAACCGGCTACTAACCGGCTAGTAACCACCAAGTGGCTACTAACCGGTCACTAGCCGGCTCTAAAGCGGACCTTCTAGTTCCAAACCGGCTACTAGCCGACACTTGAAAAGCGGTCACTAGCCGGCTGGTGGGTACTAGCTGGTTAGTAGACGGCTACTAACCAGCTAGTACCCACCAAGTGGCTACTAACCGGCTACTAACCGGCTACTAACCGGCTAGTACTAACCTGCTCTAGGCGACTCTAAATCAGACCGGCTATAATTCATTATTGCCAAATAAACAAATTATTTGAAACAAATTATTTGAAACTTGTTATTTGAAACTTGTTATTTGAAACAAATTATTGAAATGAATTATTTCAAATAACGTGTTTCAAATAACGTAAGTTCCAAAATCGATTACAACATTTTTATGAAAAATAAAAAAATACTGAAAACTGATTACATTCAATTTCTTCGTGGTGGAGGAGCAGTGTAATTGTTTTTGGGCGCTAGGACGACGCCTTGGGTACAAAGGGTCCTAAGAGTGGCAAGATTACGGTTGCAGATCTCGTTTGCGAAGGTGTAAACACTAGGAAGTCTGACGTCTCGTAGTTGCAGCAGTGCGTGTTGGACACCTGGTAGGTCAACTTTTGCTGCTTCAGCGATACATCGCTTTCTTGAGAAGTGACTCCGAGAAATGTGTATCTGCTCCAGAGCGGCAGACTTTGAGAGACCAGAGTTGACTAGCTGCACAACGGCGTCGTATTCCGCTATAACCCTGTCTAAAGAAAATATCCGCCTCGTTCTGCGACCAGTAGGCAGAGCAGCAGCATTGGGAGCAGGTTGCTGATCAGTAGCAGGTTGGTGTCCAGGAGCAGCTTGCTGAGCAGGAGGTTGAGGAGAATTGGGAGCAGGTTGTTGATCAGTAACAGGTTGCTGTGCAGGAGCAGGTTGAGGAGCTGGAGGTTGAGGAGCTGGAGGTTGAGGAGCTGGAGGTTGAGGAGCTGGAGGTTGAGGAGCTGGAGGTTGAGGAGCTGGAGGTTGAGGAGCTGGAGGTTGAGGAGCTGGAGGTTGAGGAGCTGGAGGTTGAGGAGCTGGAGGTTGAGGAGTTGGAGTGGGAGGAGCTGGAGGTTGAGGAGCTGGAGGTTGAGGAGCTGGAGGTTGAGGAGCTGAAGCGGGAGGAGCTGGAGCGAGAGGGGCTGGAGCGGGATGCGGTTGAGGAGCTGGAGGTTGAGGAGCTGGAGTGGGAGGAGGAGGGGGTGGGGTAGGTCTTGAAGTAGAAGAGGTTCTAAGTCGGTGATTGGTGGTGGGGATAGGTCTGTTTGGTCGAATTGTGGGTGTAGAGTGCAGGGAGCACATACCTTCACAGGTATTTGTATGCACGCCCGTTGCAGGGTCGATGAATCCACGTCGATGATTCACGGTGAGGTGGATATATCCATGGCGATTCAGGTGTGTGTAGCCTTTCCAGCGGTCTGATAGGATTGTAGTACCAGGGTTGATGTAACGCTTTATCAGAGAGAGGAGGGTGTGATGGTTCCTTCTGTTATCAGGGCACTCCACCAAGAAACATTCTCCAGTAGTTCGACTGACACCTCCAAGCACCCACTTTCCAACAACACGTCTGCCAGAGTTATATTTCCGTTTCCCGAACTTGCTTTCGTCGACCTCGACGATGTGACCATCACCTCCTATTTTTCCTCCCGCCCCATTCTGGATCAGGTCTTCTGTCATACACTGACGTAGGGTTTTGAAGTGTGATCTGACATGTTTAGGGGGCATTGAGACGATTCGAGCAGCATCACAGGCGGTCGAGCGGTTGCAGAATAACCACAGAAGATGGAGGAAGTTGGAGAGTGAGATCTTTCGCTTGTGCAGGATACTTCCATGTCTGACGTAAGGACTCCATCTCTACGGAGGTCTTCGTATGACTTGAACGTTTGAGCCATTGCGAGAATAGACAATTAAACAATTGGACGATTGGAAACTGGAAAATTAGAAAATTTATAGTTGCCTGTAAGGAGATCTCATTGCATCGATTGAGATAACGAGCATGTGAAGGTGACAAATGATCATGAGTGACGCGAGCCGATTCAGTCATCGATTGAGATAACGAGCATGTGAAGGTGACAAATGATCATGAGTGACGCGAGCCGATCAAGTCATCGATTGAGATAACGAGCATGTGAACGTAACAGGCGAATGACGCGGATCACGTGACACGTCAAGACTATATAAGGAGTACTAACCATCTACTTACTTTACAATTCACCATTTACTCCTAAACGACTACTATCATGGTACGAACAAGAAACCAGACCCATCCTTCCTCAGACCTCCATTGCCTCCACTGTGGCAACCCTGGTCATCTCTCCACTTTTCAAGTGCCGGTTAGTAGCCGGTTGGTAATGTGAAGTTGAGGAGCTGTTATTACAAAAGTGGCTACTAGCCGGCTAGTAGCCGGTGTTCATATGGTACTGTGCAGGGACGTTGCATAGACGTTGCATAGACGTTGCATAGACTGACCGTGCAGGGAGTGTGCATAGAGTGTTCATTGTGCAGGGACGTTGCATAGACGTTGCATAGACGGTTCTTTTGTTGTTGCATGGACAGTGGCGTAACGTAAGGCCCCGCAGACCCCGCTATGCGGGGGGGCGCCGTGAGAGGGGGGCGCCAAAATTCTGCCGCCCCTCCTCATAATTTGGCGCCCCCTAGAAATATGGCGCCCCTGGTAATAAAATACTTGGTATATAAGGTACAAAAGTTGTTAAATATCGTGCTACTGTTTTAAGATTTGTAAAATTCTAAAATTAAATATAGTGCAAAGCAAGCAGCCAGCGCGCGCTAAAAACACGTGGTAAGTGATAACGATATTGCAATTGTTATACAAACGTGGTATACAAAATTCGCGCGTGAGAATGTTTTGATTTTGTGGCAATTTTAGATATCTAAGTTTACTTTTAACTTAGATCCCAATTTCATCGGCAGTCACTTATTGTAGTTTTAATGATCCTATACAAATAAAACACCAACATCTAACAGGTAGCAATAACAGATAAAAAACTGGAAATAAAAAACAATTTACATTTTTCGATACTACATAATATTTATATTAGCGTACAGTTCATATTCCAAGCAACTCTCTTAGGTTTGGAAAGAGCATCAAATTTGGCCAGCTCTTTCTTGTCAAGTTGTCTTGCTGTTAAGTTCTCGATTGAGATGATGGCTAAAATGTAAACTGCTTAATCTATCGTTTAGTTACCCATTGTGCTTCGGAGTTTTTTAAATAGCTTCAGTTTGCTAAAGGATTTTTCAGCACTGGCTGTACAGTTATTCAGATTGGCACCAAAATCAACTTGAAGGCTGACAAGCTACGTAGCGAAATATTCACAGACAAATAAGATTTAATTCTTCAGTCAGGTCGTGCTTGTGGAGCTGGCTCAGTTGTTTTGCAGCTTTCGTCAGCGTACAATTGACTCCACATTTTGCATAGTATGTACTATGTACATGAAATCTTCCAACGGTAACGAAACCTGATTTGGGAAATTTGATGTTAATTTACAAATAAATCTGTAAACCACTTCCTTCTACAAATTTCACCACATGGCATAATACCTAACATAACTCCACAGATGCCACAATATTAAAGCTATTTACATGATTCAAAATAAACCTCAATACTTACTTCAATGTTTTCAGTCACATCCCAACTCTGCATATACAGTGAGCAACCACACTCCACACATATTGGCATTCGGCATGTAGTTCATATAAACACATGCTATATCCTGGAATTTCATTAATGTAAAGGTTTGTTCATTAATACATTTTTAACGTACGGAAACAATTCCTACAAAAAAAGGTCACTCTTTGTAGTTACTAGTTGTGACACCATAGTACAACAGCCATTTCAAATCATTACTACTTCTGGCAGCAAAACAAAGTCGGCTACAACTGCAAGTTCTAACAAATAACAATAATCATTCGAACAACTACCAATAAATAGAAAAGTATACATTTAAATGTTTAACATCATCATCTGGTAACAACCATACTACCATAAAAACTCGCTAACAGCATTAGATAATGGACAATCAGTACAGTGAGTACAGCTCACACACGCACTTTTCAATTGTATAATATATAAGATCACCATTCCCCCGTATGTTGCCATGGTAACTGTCCCAACGGAGCGTCAAGGATATGATCGGTTATAAATCGGTTATTAAGTGTTTCTAAGGTGTGTCCCTTACATTAGTTTACTGTTACACTCAGTGTGTAAATTGTAATATTTGTTTCCTCGACGATTTGCTTAATAACACGAAACCATTTGTGTAAAGATTACATTTGATCATACCAACTATTTAAGCTCCATTTATCCGTTGAACATGGATGTTAAAACGAAGAGGTCAGTCGATATATTACATCTGTGGAGTCTGAACACCTACCCAGTTACCATGGTGATAATTCCAGAGATATCACGTGATTTGCTAACCAAGTAATGCTATAATTGAATGCGTATAAAGTGCACTGATCTATCTCATTGCCTTGAAATGACGTGGCATACTTGTAATCTAGCGGCAGTAATGTTTTACTGATCAAGCTTGTCAGTAGAATTCTTTAACCATTCCCCGAATCCCCCGTATGTTGCCATGGTAACTGTCCCAACGGAGCGTCAAGGATATGATCGGTTAAAAATCGGTTATTAAGTGTTTCTAAGGTGTGTCCCATACATTAGTTTACTGTTACACTCAGTGTGTAATATTTGTTTCCTCGACGATTTTCTTAATAAAACGAGTAACGTTCTATTATATCTTATTAGCTACATTATGTTTCTGACAAACTTACCTTCAATGCAGAACGAAATTAACTAACAACCAACATTACATAATTTCTCAGTGTTTCTCAACACTGAAGCGCAAACAGTTTAAGAGTACTACCAAGTTTAAGAGTAATACCAATCATGATCAGTACCTATAATATTCAGTATTATTCTATCGATGTACTCATCTACAGAAGTACAGACTACACACATCTAGAAGACACCAACCAACACTCCTCATTGTCATTATCAATAACAATAACATATGAATAATATTAACCTGCGACAATGGACAAGTAAGAAACGGCATCGTTGCATAAACTTCGACTAAAATGAGTCCTACAAAATTGACTTATCTCCACTGAATCAGTTCCTCGTAATAAAGACTGAGCTAAAAGTAGAAACTGCTAAAACAACTCAGTAGTAAATATTGATTGTACACCGCCCAGACTCCCAATGCAGTTCTTCATATTCGACCAGCTGTGAGGATATTTATAATAACATACATTCGCATAATGTTCGCGTAAACTAAGTACGGCATATTTGATATTTTACCCCATTGATGATTACAATTTACATGAACAACCGGTAACCTTAATATAATATAAATTTTTGTAACATATACAGCAGCTTAAAACAGTTCTCCTTGTTAGACTAACAATATGAAACACACAATTCACAAAATTGTTTCATTGTTTATCACAAATTAACAGTAACACCACTAATCAGACAAATGACAAATCACCTAGCGGCTGTTTCGAATGTAATGTCTAATGTCAAACGACAATGAATTATGAAACGCGAACAAGATTCTGACATTGTGTAACCGACTTATCATTAGTGTCCCGTACATGATACATTTATTATTACCATAACGCGTCGTCCCTCTGCATAGTCCAATCACAACCGTTAACAGGTATCACGAGATAATATTTTATCCAACGCGAAAACAATCATGCGCAAATTACTGGCGATTTAATTACAAAATCGCGCGGCTTACATGTAAAATTATTTGCGCGCGGCTTCTCACTTTCCAAATTTAAATTTTATTGGCTCACATTTATATTCCGTTTTAAAATTTAAAAATTGTGATGGCAACGGCCCTCGGACAAATCTAGCGAGCGAAGCGAGCGCGCTCCAGAAAGGGGGGCGCTTTTTGAGTTGAGCGGGGGGGCGCCAAAAAGTAACGTTACGCCACTGTGCATGGACGTTGCATAGACGTTGCATAGACTGTCCGGAGCTAAACGACCAAGTTGCCGTACCAAGTCTGGTTTCTATGTACACAAAATATTGACAGTTCAAAGTATCATCGTGAAGAACGCATTAGTTTTTATACATAAGCTAAAAAACTTCCCAAGTCTAGTGCCTCCCTCTATAAAGAAAACAATACCTAACAGTGCACCAATATTTAACGTCGCCGATCCGGATTCGAGTCGTACAACTTTATGGTCAGATGAATACGGTAAACACCCTTACAATAATTCAGTATTCTACAAAGGTCCACTATTAGCAATAAACAGATATAGTGTCGCAGCAACTTCCTTGCCAAGTCTATTCAACCTTAACATGCGCATCTACAAAAGGTGCATAAAAAACATGCTCATTGATCAACAAAACGAGGGCATTGCAGACGAATGGCCTAACTTTATGTTATACAATATAACGGGACTAAGGAAATCAGAGCGCAACATCAACCGTAATGCTAATAATAACTCTGTCCCATAAGCAAGCCATCACAGAATCAATTTCACTGCATACCATCTCAGTTACTCTGCCATCAATTCGCCAGCAAAAACGGCATGACGCTATGCGACTGATAACAGTCGTTAAATTTTTAAAACTTTGGAATAGCTAGCTAGCAGTAGCTATGCGCCTGTTTCCACTCTAACAACTCTAAAAGCATATTAATATGATAATTTCAACTAAAGGCAACTTTATATGTGCTCAGCTATGTTTTGTTTCGACAAGCTCTATTATATACATTTTAATCGTTTTAATGAGATCTAATCTTGTATGAGTTTTGAGTTTGAATTGATAACACTTATTATATATATTATTTTTTGAGTAAACATTGGCTGGTACTTCGGGCCGGTCCCCAACAAAAAAAAACCCCTTTTAACTACCTCACTTCCAAAACTTCAAAATAATGTGCAATTTAATACAATTACAAGTCGAAAAAAATGGTACTAGCTATTTAACAAATATGATATTTAGAACTATTAGCTCGATCAAGCGCTCCAAAGTTTAGAAAGCCAACTAAACAATACGGTAACCACAACTGTTAATATGCTTTTCAGTTCTATCAGGCATCTGCATGGCATTGGCCATGGGCATGATCAACTGCCAAAAATTGGCTAGAGCAAAAGGAGTAGTACCACTACCAGCAGTAGCGAAGTAAAAAATGATATGAGTGCCCAGCGCCTAACCTTGGCGAATTACCAAAGGACTGCTACTGCTTGTGCCGATCTGCAGATCTGGTATACTTTAACGATTAGTTAAAACTTTTATTAATTGATCCAGCACTGTATTGTTCACAAGTCACTTCATGTCATAGTTGATAAGCACTTATGATCCACCACACAAGCACTTTTGTTCACTCCACCTTGTTTTCTTCATGCTTCAGCTCCACATTCGACAACTGAGTCACAACAACATCTCTTATAATCACGTGCGCATCACATCACCATGGGCCACAGCCAATCATATCATCTCAACCGTCAGTCACATGTCACTCGTCACGTGATAAGATCATTTTAAACTATCTGTGAGTATTTATCTGTGACAGGTAGTGCAACATAGTAATAGATCTCTTTTGTGCACTCATGGTTATTGGTTACGAGGCAAACCTTCCGGTAGTTTTTCTTTAATAATTTTGAAGGTGTAATTTTTCTATCTTGGTAGTGTATTAACTTTTAGTGTTGAGTGTGTTTACGCCATATTTTAAACTCGGTGATATCAGATGTTTCCAGTCTATAACTTTGTCTTCAGTATTCATACAATTTAATACTAATTATTTTACCAAAACCCATAATCATGGGTAGAGTGGACCGCTGCCAGTGTCTCTCTTTCCCAAACAAAAGGAAATGATATTAATTTGATTGACCGTTCTCAAATGCAAAATGATACCGAGAATGAAATCGGTCGCTCGCTTTTCCCATTCATTCACGGCTTACGAATTGTATAAATAAGTTTCGAATGATTACATCAATCAGATGCTGTAAAAATCTCTTTGGGTTGCGTTCGGGTCGATACCTAGTATTTCGGGGTAAGGGACAAGGGTGGTAGTTATTACTTATTGAACAAGCTGGAGTTTATTGAATCTTCATTGCCGAGTACAGCTGCCTTTGGGTAGTTCTTCTTAATCTATTACAATTGTAAATGAATGGGAAAAGCGAGCGACCGATTTCATTCTCGGTATCATTTTGCATTTGAGAACGGTCAATCAAATTAATATCATTTCCTTTTGTTTGGGAAAGAGAGACACTGGCAGCGGTCCACTCTACCCATGATTATGGGTTTTGGTAAAATATCATCTCTTTTTGATTATAATGTCAGGGTACTTTATAAAGTCGAAATATAAACTGATATCTTCATTAATAAGGAGGAAGTTTCAACGATTTCGAAATTTTTCCTTTAAAAACATATCCTTGTGTTTAGGGAAGCATATCGGTCGATCACTGACTGAATATGCCACTTAATACTTATTCAAGTTGGCATTAAATTCATATATAATGACATTAAACTGTCGTGGCAAAGCAGAATTTGTTGGAAATCACGAATGAGCAAAATTCTCACCTTTCGCACGTGCAAACTTTGAGCGGACGTTGCGTGCGCATCCAATATTGAATCGCCGTAAATTTTTGCTTGTAATTGTTTTATATATAGCTTGATAAGCATGCAAAGTTTCAAAGTATTTCAAGAAGAACTGTAATCACAACGGCACTCTAAAGTTTACAGAAAATGACGAAAACAGCAATTTTCAG